ACCAGTGTTCTCCCCAGCATTCAATTTGTGTGCGGGGCCGCCACGCAGCTTTTCCTGCCCGCCACTGTGGTCTCGAGCCGCCACGGTGATTAGTAAGACCGCCACAGTGCTTTTTTCATTGTTCATCCTGTGAACTGTATTACGAAATATAGAAAGAAATACGTAGCTATCAGGGATCTTGCCACGCTTCCGACAGGACTATTGTCCGACGTACCGACCGACACGCATCCTGCCAGTCGTGGATTATAATTTGTAAACAATAGATGTAGTCGCATGATGTGGTAGTGGCTTATAAACAATACAAGTTAATTTTGTAAAATTAGCACCTCTTTGTTCGTAACAATCGACGCAGTCTTTAGATTGAAAGCTAAAAATTTTTTCAAAATCAATTCCACCCCGATATAACATGGGCAAAGCGGAGTTCACGATCTGTTTACGCTACTCAAGAAAAAAACAACGTGTTTATTACGTGATTGGGTAAAATACATTTGAACTTTTATCATCGCGAATCATGTAAAAACTCTTCTTTCAAGACTTTTTACCTTTTAAAAATTGCTTATCACCTATTTCGAAAACCATCATGCAGTTTTCATCTGAAATCCATACCAACACATCGTGCTACGACATCGCTTTACTTCCGCAATGTAATTTTTATGATCACTACCATTCGGAAAACTTCGGGTTCTGCCGGCATTAACATGCGGTATTCTGATTGGTTAATGGTGTTTGGGTCAAAGGACACATGCCGGTCAACTAATAGGTCACAATTATCATGGCGGTCTTTGTTTTTCACCGAAGCGATCGAGTGATCAAAAATAATCGCTCAAATTTTACGTTTATTTCATATAAAAAAAATAAGTAACATTTTTTCATGGCATGACTGAATTATTGGTATAACCGGTGTATAACATCGCGAAGTAAGTTAAGTCACGTCGTAACTTTGATGATCGTTTGGAAGTTTTATTTGTTCGTTCATTACTGTGAATGTAAACGTTGTAGAAGCTGATGGTACGAATAATGAACAATTTTTTGAAGGAGAATGTTTTTGTAGTAAATAAGATCATGGAAGTCGAGAACATATTCCTGGCTGAAACATTTCAAATGAGTTTCATTTAGCCTTTTACAATTTATTTGTTTGTTTGTTTTTAATAGTGACTAGTCTGCAGCATTTCCATTTCGATTTGACAATTTTTCATTTTTAAATTCAAACTCTTCTAAATCGTGAAACGTAATATTTTGACTCCAATAGAAAAAATATTTGCACTGTGTTTGATCTCATTAATATCCCAAAAGAATAGTGTTTATAACACTGTATGAAACAAATAAATATGTGCCACATTGTTTTTGAAAATATATGTTGTTTGTTATGTGGATGTAAATGTGCTTTGGTTATTTTATTATTTTATTACATTATTATGTAAATGATATGCAAATGATATGCAAATTAGTCCACCACAGTGGTTTAAATTCCTGGGGAGAACACTGAATCGGATCATGAAAAAAATGCATGTGCATATGTCCCATATAATGTGTGATGTATGAGTGAAGTTTGAACTTAATCGGTCCATGCATGTTGGAGATACAGGTGATCACAGACACACGCAGGGCAAACCATAAGTCCCTGTTTTCGGACTACGTCCGAACGGGGACTAACAAAATGACAATGACAATGAGAACTAAACCACACCAGAATTCCTTAGTATAAAATTATTTTTAGAAATTACAACTTGAGTCATCAATTCATTGAAATGACCATGACTTCATGTAGTTAATACCAGACACTACTTTAGCAAAAATGATGAGTTATTCAACACAAAGGAAATCAGATTGGTATCAGTATTTCTGTGTTTAGTATACCGGTACATGTTTTTAAATAGAAACACAATTTATAGCCAGTATTGTACAAAACAGAAATTAGAAACTGTTTTATGATCAAATCAGCAACTTTACATCAAGTGGTTGCAGAGACACTGTTCAAATAATCTACAGTAATCTTTTCTTATCAGCGTAGTACAGACATACATTCATACCCAAATCCATCTTTTTAGTACAATACTGTATACACAAATATAGTCATAGTCTCACTATTCATTTTTTTTTTCTATTTTACAATCTAGTTTTAGCTTATCTCTATGACACTGTATTTTTTTTTTGAACAGCTGTTGACAAAATAGGAAAAAAATGGATGAAGTATAGCATGATTGGTGAAGCCAACGCTAGCATGTTTTTTGTTTGACACTCCTAAACCCTTACAATTCACAACTTATCGAATTAATAAAGTCCTTATGATTGATGGGATTCCAATGATGTTTTTCACTTCTTCACGACCACAAAAAATAATTAAACTTTGCTTGTCATGCACTACACATTAGTTATTAGTAAATGAAATATTAATATGCAGTGCTTGTAATACTATGAGGTTATTACGAGGACACCTCAAAGTATGCATGAAGACAGTACAGCATTAGTATTGACTGATGCGCAACGGAGGTCAATGCGATGGCGTACTGTCCGAGAGCATACTTTGAGGTATCCTCGTAATAATCTTATTAATATACATCTTTTCCTTCCAAGGATATGTCATGGGAATACCAAAATCCAAAAAGTTTAGAACATAATCATCAAACTTCTTTGTGTGGACACAGGTCAAACCCTGGAGACAGTCATGTTAGTTTTTATTATTAGTGGGCGCTTATGCGCATAATCATTCCATATTTGGAATTCACATTTCCTAATATGGTAGGATGAAAATACCCCATAAAATACTAAAAATTACGGCAAGTTGTAACTTATGATGTATAATAATATTAGTTATTATTACACGAAAAGAATATGTCATTAAAGTATTATTAAAGCACGGGCAAAAAATCTACTTGCTGAAACAGCCTTGGATACGAGATAAGAGCCCAGTGCATGAATGTATATAGCAAACACATTTTTATTTCTATAATTAGTCTTGGAAGTACACAGATCAATACGGCAAAATTTATTAATTAAGCATTGCCTTAAAATCTCATAGTAGGATCATAATTATACATATACATGTTATTATGTATTTTCATGTTTAATTGTCAGTGAATTTTGTAATTTGTAAATGTAATTTGTGTTCATTTTTACTGTTAATTGTTTTAGTTCTAGTTTTTAGTGAACTTACTGCTCTACTTTCCATATTCAGTGTGGTGGCAATAAATAAAGATACAGAATAGACTAGTTTCTACAGTCTAAGTGGATACCCTACATGTACTGTAAAGGGGGTAATTATTCACTGGGTTTTAATTTAGCTTATTTCGCTGACTGGAAAAATGCGCTAAATTAAAACCCAGTGAATATGTTAAATTTAGCATAGGACACATTATCTAAATGATGAAACCGTGAATTTAAAACCTACTGAATATGCCTGAAATGGTAAATCAGTGAAATTTAAACCCAGTGAAAATTAGTCATTTTACAGTATTCAGTTTCTTTAGGAACAACGCTTTTGTACCATAAAGTAGTAAGACGCCACTATTGTTTAGCACGCAATGGTGTGAATGTTTTTAAGTGTCAAGCTTCCTGTGCGGACGTCCAACACAAACTGAAGCATCAGCAATATTATGATGAGAGAGATAGAAAAAAGATTTATTGCAGCCGTACAGAATATTTTATAACTTCTAATTTGGTGTTTAAATGGTGCATGGTGACATGAATAATTGTAATTATTTAGAGTTCACTTTTGTCGGCAAACTAAGAATTTCAGTAATGGAGCTTAACTAAATGCCACCGTAGCGTCAAAACCTAAAATTACCAGCTCCGATATTCACAAACATTTTTGAAGAGGGAAAAGACGGATAGAAAGACATACCATATAATTCTTGGAAATTTGGTACTATTACCAAGTAACAGTAGTGACAGTATGGGTTGCCACAAGATTATTCCCGAAACACGAACGATCGACCAACCCAGCAATACTTCCATACAGACTTGAGTAATACAATTATACTTGTAATACGGTATCAAGGTAACAAACCAAATTCCAGTTAATTGAGAATATCATCGACCTGAACGCATGTTTCTACATTAAGGGGCTCCGTAGTATTTATCAAGAACAGAATAGAGTGTCGATCCAAGTTGTATACATCATGTATGTTGGGCCGAGGGAGCTACACTGTACATATAACGTGGGCATGAGGAATTTTCCAGCACGTTCGTAGGACGCGATCGATCGAGATCAAGTGGTACATACCGCCTCATCAGTGAACCTACTCGCCAAAATAAATAACCTTCAACCTACCAGGGGATTCTCCAAGATGAAGCCAAGTCTCTCTGACACGTGGAAATCTTCGAGCCGCGGTACAATTCCATCCAACTCGGCAGCCATAACTGCAACCTACCAGATAACGTCGCCGCAGATAAACCAATCACAGTTTCGATTTCAGGTTTCAGTATGTCCCGGCATGCACGAAGCCGGGGAAAGTGACGTCACATTCTAAATTTATCTAACATCAACATCCGGGTACGTGAAAAAGGGTTTTCCCATGGACGGACGCACAATTTGTAGGGATAACTAAAATAAAGATTAAGAGGGCGTTGTTATCCCTTGAAATGTTTAGATTGTGAACGTGACAATTATTCATATATATTAATGCATATTATAATAACTATTTTGAATTTAACTTAATAGAATTGAACAATAATAATGAAATGTTAAAAATTTTACTTTCACCCACACGTAAAAGTTGCACAGCCCCCTAACTAACTCAAGGCTTGATATGATTGGTTAAATTTGAGTTGAATGATGCAGCGGGCAATGATTTGTTTTCTTAAAAAAGTGTATATAAAATATTGAGTTAATATATTTTTTTACAAATAGTTCTTGTATTACATTATACTTCCAAATTGTTCATTCACGTTGAGTACTTTATCATTCTCCAAGCCTGGACGTATTACTGTCGTTGGCGGCGTGCGTGATGAATAACGTCGACTTAGCTAGGTGGTCTCATACTGATTTGTTTTCGACCACTCGTGTAACAACACATGGACGCTTGGAAGTAGGTGGAAGGAACCGCGTCCTTGTCTCCATTAGTTCTGAGTGCGATTACTGTGATTTTTTGTTTTGCGTTTAAAGACAGGAGATGACGAAACTTGGTTCTGTGCTTACCATTTTATCTCTTTTCGCATGTGTAGTTGGAAATACTGAGCGCGACGCAGACGATCCTCACAGAGAGCCGTCAAAATGTGAAGGTGAGGACCCGGAAGTGTTCTGTTTTCAGACTTATTTGTGCTTTTTGAAATACATCTGATCGTGCGATCATCTTCATGAAGCCAGATTTTAGATCCGTGAACAAGTTTATTTTTACTCTTATACTGTAATTTAGTAATACAGTTCATCCGCCCAATTTTGGTCTATGGTAGTGACATCTGGAGTAATTCAATCACTGAACAGTTTCAACTCGATTACTTTCGTTATCTCTAAAAAAAAAAAATAATGCACAATCTGTGAACAATGTAATGAAAATAAAATTGCTCATTCAACAATCAACAAAGATGAATTCTGAAACAACCAAACATATCAATTTGGCCAACAATTTTTTCATTTCATTTTATTTTGCTTTGCATTTTATGTAACTTTCATTTTTTTCCTTTCACCTATTTTTTTGAGATTTTTCTGCTGTACTTTTCCATTTTAATACACTGACGATTTGCTCTTTAAATATGCTAAATACTTGAAATTTACTTCACTTATCACTATTTGTTCTCTGTTACAGTGTGCAAAATCTTTGCTACAGAACTACAGAGTGAATTTGACAGAACTGGACGTTCCAAAGAAGTGATTGGCGTGGGTCACCAGCTAGATAAAAAGGGAGACAGGAAAAAAATGATCAAATATCACACTTCGTAAGATATAGCAACTCATTTTCCAAGTTTTCTTTAATCTCATATTGTGGCTTTGCTTGCGTTTTTTGATAAATTTATAAGAGAGGGTATTTTAATTATTCAAAAAAATAGAGGCATTGAATATAGTTCACGTTATTATATTAATTGTTGTTAAAATACAATTGTTCAGAATGACTATTCTCTTCCAGAGATTCAATGTCACTTCTCAAAACCGATCCGTTACTCATGTTCTACATTGGTTTGATGTTTGTCATACATCAAAAGGTCATTAGTTTGATCCATATTGCTGACTGTTCATTCAATAGTACGTTCATGCTGCCCAGTCATTTGGTTTGTTAGATTAGCATCCCATGTGCTGTTGTTATACTCTCGGTGTACTTTAAGCTCAAATTCTAAGTCAAGTTTGTTGAAAGAGCAGCAGGTGTCCACAGAATGACTGGCTCGTAAAAGATAGATGGAAAAGAGTGGCA